TAGGATAAAGCAATATTCTGGTCGCCGTCAGGCGATCACCTGTGTGACCGCATCGGCCAATAGTGCGCGATGATCTGGAATGCGTGTGCTTATCGACTTATCGACTACGACCAATCGTACCCGAATTCCTTAACCTCGTCAACTTCTCATCTCCCTAGAGTACTCATCGCAGTATCCGAAAAATCCAACGCCGTCGAAATCCCGGTAAACACAAACCTAGAAGCAATTGCAGTCACAACACTATTCGCAGTTAAGATACACATATGCAACATATACCTCCCAAATAGCCATACTGTAAACCTAGCTGACTTAAAAACGCTTATAAATCAACTTCCAACACCCTTTATACTAATGGGCGAGTTCAATAACCACCATTATCTCTGCGGATCGTACAACATAGACGGCCGTGAAAAAATAAGGCTGTAGTTCCGAATACGACCGGTCGCCGATCAAGATGAAATTTGGAGGGTTGGTTGGGAGCAGGTAGACGACCCTAAATATAAAGTGGTATCTTCGGCTTCCTATTAGTTTCCGAAATATTAATTAAAAACTTTCGTACAATACATAGAATTTTTCCTATACAGACGTAACTAACACTACCGTCTTCGCTGTAGTAACCGTCATCGTGAAGTGTCGAACAGCCGTTCACACCATAGCAATATCGTCTTCCGTTTCTATAGGGTGTACCATGTAAAATCCGTTTTTTTAGTTACATTACGTTATGTTTTATATTGTATTACTAATTCTCAAGGAATTAAACACAGGGAAAATGAGTGCGATCGATCGCACTTTGTAGTAGCAAATTGACGCAATTCCTAGAATGGGAATCATTACTAGACCTCCATAACAGTGATCATTTTCCCATAAAAGTTACTTATTTAGATACTATCCCACAACTGCAGAACAAACCCACTGCCAAATGGAACATAAGAAAAATAGACTGGTGTATATACAAAACAATAATCACAAATACCCTCCAAGAAGCCCCAAATAGCGAAAGTGATCATAATAACATCAATCAAGAAATCGAACGACTGGAAACAACTATTAAAAAGGCAGCACAGTAATCCTCTGGTCCAATAAAACCAAAAAGTACAAAAAAAAGAAACACACCTTGGTGGAACGAAAATTGCCATGCAGCCATGAAAGAAAGCCAAAGGGCCTTCAACAAAGCAAAGATACGATCAACAACAGAAAACTTACAATTAGTGAACTTCAAAAAACTTCGAGACTCTAACAAAAGAAAGTAAAAGAAAATCTTGGCAATCATATATATCAACCATCATAAACAAAACCCTAACAAATACCCTGTGGAAAAAAATCAGAAACGTTAATGGAATAGAATTTTATACCGAAATCCAATTTTTCGACCTAGGAGATAACAAATTTATAACTAACTCACAGAATATAGCTGACACCCTTGCAGAGATATTCCAAAAAAATTCAAAAAATAAAAGCCGCGAAGAAAGAGTCCACATACCCTCGCCGTACCTCACATACCCAAGAAACGACAACAGCCACCCAGCAGATTCCGTTTCCGAATTCACTTTAAATTAAATCATAACACTGGAAGAGCTAATGAACACCCTCCGCACCACAAAAAATTCCGCTTCTGGGCCCGACAATATACCTAACAAAATGATAAAAAGATTGCCATAAATTGGCATCAACCATCTCCTCAAGATTTTCAACTACATTTAGATACATCAAGTATTCCCGGACAACTGGAGGAAAGCCACAGTTATACCCATACCTAAACCAACTAAAAATAAAAACAAACCTGAAATCTGTAGGCCGATCGCCTTAACAAACTGCATCTGTAAACTTCTAGAAAAAATAATTAATAAAAGGCTCAGATGGTTCCTCGAATCGAATAATATGCTATCACCTAACCAATACGGATTCAGACAGCACCGTTCGACCACCGACGTACTGTTAAATTTAGAGACAAGCATATGTCAAGCATTTCTAAAGAACAAATTCCTCATTACAGTATGTTTGGACATTGAAAAGGCATATGACTCAATACCAAGGACTACAATCATCAATGCCCTTACCAAAACTAGACTAAACGGCAACATATTAGCTTCCATCAAAAACTTCCTTACATTTAGAACCATCCAAGTGAGAACGAACGGAACCCTCTCCAAACCAACCACCATACAATGGAGTACCACAAAATTTGGTAATGAGTGTTACGCTTTTCCTGATAGTAATCAACGACATTTTAAATAACATCAAGCCGCCAATCCAAGGAACCCTGTTTGCGGACGATCTAACAATAACCTGCAGCGGGAAAAACTTAACTACTACCATTGAACTCCTACAAGGAAGCATAAACGACCTTCTGTCATGGTCCGAAAAATCAGGACTCAAATTTTCCCCCCAAAAAACAAAATACAGCATCTTTTCTAGAAAATGCAAGAGAATCATACTTTCCCCTAAGCTCCATGTACGAAATACTGAAATCGAAAAAATAGACAGCATTAGAATACTTGGACTCATCTTTGACCATAAGCTAACGTGAGGGCCACATATGAAATATCTAAAAACCACATGAACAAAAAAAATGAACATCATAAACGCTTTGGCAAATAATAGCTGGGGAGCCGACCAAGAGATTATCATACAAACCTACCAGGCACTAATTAGATCCAAACTCGACTACGGGTTAATTGTTTATAACTCGGCTAAACCCAATACCCTGAAAACAATCGATTCAATTTATAATGCCGCTCTAAGAATAGCTACTGGAAGTTACAGGACTAGCCCAATAAATAGCATACTATTTGAATCAAAAGAACCATCATTAGAACAAAAAAGGAGATACCTAAGCTTAAAATACGTAGCCAAAATGTCCCCACTCCAAATAATCCCACCTACAATAACATATTTACAAATAGATATACTTACCTACAAACTAGAAAACCCAAGTCTCTAAACCCAGTCTATGGAAGAATTGCCAAATACGATAGTTCCACTGTGATCACATCGACACCAACCATTCCACGTAAATATAGGAAAACAACTCCCTGGACCTTAAAAATCCCAGAAACCAACGCCGACCTCGTAAAGCTCTCCAAAGATCAAATAGGCTGCATTGAATACAGATTTAACTTCCAACAACTATGCAACAAATACCCAAACCACCAAACGATATACACCGATGCATCAAAGACTGACTAGGAAGTCGGGGCCGCCGTCGTCTGCGACAACACGACCAAAAAATACTACCTTCCAATAGTCACATCCATTTTTACAGCAGAAGCTTGGGCAGTTCTTGAAGCCCTTAACCACATACGAAATAACAATTTCCAATTTTCCATCATCCTCAGATTCTATGAGCGTAATCATGGTAATAGCAAATGTAAATCGCGAAACCAAACATGAAGTCATCTTAAACATCCAATATACCTATACGGACCTCATCAATAACAATCAATAATGGTAAACAATTAACCCTAGCCTGGGTTCCATCTCACCAAGGTGTCAAAGGAAACGAGGCAGCCGACACAGCCGCCAAAGAAGCAACAGCACTTCCGCCAGATGACACCCGCAGCCAAGTCTCACACCAAAACCTCATTGTCGTATTACGCCATATCGAACAACAAACATGGAATAAAATATGGACCACCTCTAAGAAAATAAAAACACACGACGTTACCCAAGACTTCTATCAAACAATGCCTAGCAGCAATATGAAAAGGAAAGACAGGATAATCATGGCCAGGTTTAGAACAGGTCACTGCAAACTCACACACGATTACCTAATTAAAAAAACAGAACCATCAATGTGCACTGTCTGCAAGAAAATCATCACTAGCAACCACCTACTATTTGAATGTAGAAGATACAACACCCAAAGACAAAAATATAGAATAACATCGACCGAACTCTTAACGACACAGAAGCACGTAGAAAATACCTTAAACTACTTAAAAGACATTAACATCTACCACTGCATATAACCGAAAGGAAACGAAGGAAACAGGTCCTAGTCGTCGCTAATGGTAATTAAAAAAAAAGTTCAAATTTTGGCAAGTAACGGTTTCATGGATATTTATTGCTGTTACGGCAAATTACGGTGAAAGAGGACTCGCTATGCGATAGCGTATACGTTCATGGTCGTGTGTGCGTCAGCTAGCGACCTTCGCTTACCTATTGTTTCTGTCAACAGCACCACGGCTACCATCCATATAATGGGTGAACTTAAAAATCAAACTTAATTGATTTCAATAATTTTGAATTATGATTTGCGTGGTCTGCCGTGTCACGGTGGCTGGAATATTAATTTAACCGAATTTATCTTAACTTAAACTACCGATTAGATTAAATATATTATAAAAATTTACATTTTGATTAACTTTTTTTCTCTTATCTGCCTAGGTTAGATTAGGTTATATTAGATTAATATTCCGGCCGCCACTAGGTATACAATTTAAAATTATTGAAATAAGTTAAGTTTGATTTTTATGTTCACCTGTTATGTAGAGGGTTGTCAAGCCCGGTGCCATTGTTTATAAAAATATTACTCAAGCAACGGTCACATATACTGCTACAGACACATACGTATAGGCAGAATTCACTGTAGTGGTAACGATATTTTTTCCACGAATATTTTCGAAACCAAGTAAGTCCGACATATCGGTTAGCGGAAAAAAGATGTCTAAAATGTCAAATTTTACAACATATTCAAAAATCATCGAAATCGAAGGAGAAGTGCCTTTTCTACAAGTTCACCAAGACTTTAAAATTTATACAGAAAAAAATAAAGAATTTCATATTTTGTGATTTAAACAGTTCTCTAATGTATATTCCTAATATATTTTCAGAAGCCATGATTTTGTTATATTTCCTCTTTTTTCACTTTTCGATTATATAAAATTTATGTAAATACTTCGATTAATAATACACAGAAAAATTTACGGCCACAATTAAACTCCTAATTAAACTAATAAAAATATAATTTTCCTGCTTGTCTATACAATCAATTTAAAGAGATGAGGCGCCGATCGACATCAAAGGTACCGCCGACAGTGTCGCCTCTTATATGTACTGTGCACCGCATTTGCGGCCTTCTCATGGGACATCTTGTCATCGGTGCACAGTGCAATACCTATTCTTTTGCGTTACGACGAATGTTTAAGGGCATAGACTCCTTGTGCCATGACCTGTATGCGTGCACTCACACAATCAACGGAAAGCATGCACATATACGCCATTCGTGAGAGAGACACTCGATTTCGTAGATTCCATTTTTCGTCTCGATAATTGCATAAATGAAATTTTCGCGGGTACAGCACACAGGGGTAGACTTCGCTACAGGTCGGTCACAGATGCGGCAACACTGCAACAGAACTCTCAAATGATGTGATTTGGCAACTATGCAACCTCATTTTCGTTTCTTATTCTGCATAATGACGTTAGATGTCACACCGTCAAATGTCGAATTTCTCAATTATGTGTTTTCACGATTGCCCGATTCTTTCCAATGGCGCTTACATCGATTCGAAGGAGGCCTCGAAGGAGTCTGTGCCCTTAAGGGAGTACACACGGGTAATGCAGCGAGGTGACATTACCGGCAAAAATGGGCCTATTAATGGGTTTACGGGAATCGGTTATTTGTCCTTATATGAAAACACTTAGGGCTGGGTGAGGGCTCATTCGAAAGAGGAAGGTCCAATGCAGGGGGCTCAACCGATGGTTTAACGAGATTGTGTTAATATCTAATAATATAAGTGTCCAAAGTAGAGGAAAAATTGAGAAAATACGCCCGCTGAATCCAAGTACATTTTAGGTAACTATAAGAGTTTTATGACTAAAACGATTTGTTGAGCCCCCTTCATTGAACCTTCCTCTTTCGAATGAGCCCTTATTCAGCTCAATAACTTCTCATATAAGGACGAATAACCGATTCCCGTAAAAGCATTCCCAAAGACGAGTTCCGCCATTATCTGGATACTACAGAGCAAGTCACGTGACAAATTTAGTTCAGCTAGTAGTTATAAGGTGGCGTCTAAGTAGAAAGGCTGCCGATTTGGAATCGTAGTCAGAATTAAGCGTTAGCTTGATTACGTCACTCGAACTGTGCTGCGAAGGCAAGCGAAAAAGGCAACATCGCTCGAACGCTGAGTGAGACGCACTACAGTCATGCTGTCCTTCTCTCATTCTGAATGTTGAGATTGTCCCTTTTCGCTACGTTTTAACTGCGGCCCGCCTGGATTTTCCACAGCGCCCCATAACCTCGCCCCATTCAAACTATATCGTGTTTGGTATCATTTTAATTAGAAAAATTTCACCAATGCGCTAGTAAAAGTTTCAGTAACAAAAAGTCAAAAATCAAAAAGTTTTATAATTGAATTAGTATTAGTCACACCGATACGTTTCGGCTCTTTCCTTTGATCATTAGACCTCTCTCTCTCTCCTCCACTGTCTGTCCCTTTCTACGTTCATGCTTGGCTGGTTGTCGCATCTAATTCGAGATTCGACAACTCGGCCGGATGTATGCAACGTCTGGTTCCCAATCTCTGTTGCGTATATTCAGCTTTTAGTGTATATGTAGACGCGAGGTCCCTCCATTTATTAGTTCTAATAGTACCATAGTACTTTTTTATGCAGAATGTTTCAAGGAGTTGGTACAAGAAAAAAAAAATGCAATTCCATTTAAATAAAAAGTGGATTTGCATTTTTTGAGTGCATCGTTGCATTCACGGAGAACATGAAATCACAGAAAAATAGACATTATCATACTATTGAACTTTTACATAAACAGCTTTTTTCTATCTCTTACCAAATTCAAGATATAACCCGTCAAAAATTGCATGACGTATCCTGTATATTTTTATTAATTAAAAAACATTTATTTAAAGAAGTTAATAACTTTTTCTACAAAATTTCTCAGATTGCACGCTCCTTCGGTTCTTCAGAGTAGGCATATATTTTTCAGCAGCGAGGGGTGCTACGGTGCGCTATATAAAATCCACGCGTTCAGTCAGTCAGAATTTATCGGAGCGGGACAATTCTATCATTCGGGTTGAAAGAAGGATAGCATGATCACCCTACATCTCACTCTAACCACGCGCCAATGTTTCGCTTTCGTTCTTCAGGCGGATCGTCGCGATGCCTCTGGCGAGAAGAGCGTTTGAATGTGTTTGTAAAAATACTTGAGGCACTGTTGCCTTCCTAGATCGTGTTGCGCGCACGCTAGCTGAGAATTAAACCTTTCAAGTTCGTAACAGACCACGCAAATGGCTCCACCAGGCCCAACGAGAAAACTTCTGTAATACCGACGTCTACCCCCTTAAGGCTTCGTTTTCGAGTTATTAATGAAAAACACTGTCCAATCAGAGCGTGCGTAGAGCGCGGGCGAAAAAACTGCTGTAATACCGATGTCCCGAATCGGAGAGGTCACGTGCCGTGTCTACCCCCTTAATATGTGGCTTGCTGTTTCAGAAATACCTGGCGCTACAGGAGGAGCATTACGCATTAAAGGAGATCTGTAGTGAGCAAGAACGAACTCTGGAGGAACTTGGGGGACAATTGAGCACGGCCAAATTGGTAGCCGTCGAATTACGCGAGGCCGCTGACAACGCTCAACAGCAGCAACAGCAGCAAGATGGCGCAGCAACGTGGGCGAACGATCGTCTGGTCAGCCATTGCAAAAGCTGCAACCGTGAGTTCAACATCACTCGTCGCAAGGTAATCAAACTTTTTAATTGCCCCCACACCTTCTACCTCGGCTCCACCGCCTCTTTCACTCAGTCTCGTGCAGAGACTCGACTGAAAAGCTTCCGTGACACACTTAATCGTTCAATTATCCTTGCTACCCTGAAAATTACTAGTTTTACGGTCCAGATTTCTCCGGCTCTGCTGTTTAAACCGTTCGCGATTCAAACTTGTATGCCTTGAATGATGCTGACGGTGTTGAGAGGTTTTAACGTCACGTAGTTACGCCTCTTCGACCTCGTCCACCTAGCTTAAAGGTCGGAATCGCGTGCGTCAGTGAGCAGTTTGATGCATGACAGTTCTGTTATTAGAGATAACACACCGTATTAGCATTAAAGCTCGCAATTACAAGCGGTTTGTTTCTCGTTTGTTCGTGTTCTCTACTTGCCGGATGTCAGAATAATTGAAGAGATCCCTAAGGAAATTTCAGATTAGATTTTTGTTGAGAGTGTGATACATTTCTATATACATACGTATTATATTCTTATTTTTGTTAAGTGCTGCCCTCACAGCAGAGTGGTAGTATAGCGCGTTAGTGAGAACAATGCACGCAGTTTTGTTATAGATATGGTCGCGTGCGAACTCTTTATTAGTGTTTTTTCATAATGTATTATTTTTTGCATTATTGACCCTTTGTTGCATTGTTTTGCAAATATATTACATAAAATAATATACTAATAGATACTTGTATTTTATCAAATATAAAGGAATCACATTGTGAGAGTTGAAGAATAATTTGAAAAATTATGCAACCAAGGGTTAGTTACTTTTTCAAGTTTATTACATTATTTATTTTTATAATCTTTGTTCAGTGCGTGCGGATATGTGTAATACTCGTACGCTTCGAGTGATAAATTAATATTACTCGAATATTTGTGGGTGGTGCGAAAAATAAGTAGAATGCCACGAATAACGTTTAACTACGTTTAACTTTAACAGTTTAGTTAGTTTATTTCTACGTTTGATTTTGACAGCGTTCCGTTTCGAAGAACGATACTTATTAGAATGTCTGGTGTATGTACAGGTATCGGATTTATATAGTAATTTTGTGTAGTCGGTAACAGCCAATCAGGGCTGCTGGTCAAGTCTGTAAGGGTGGCTAGAACGTCACCAGCGCAGGTATATGACCGATGGCGTTTTTAGTGAACGTTGCAAAGGTCGCACTTTTGCTAATGAGTGCATGGCACTGACCGTCATGAAGTGGTATTTCCGGGAATTTCTAGATTTAACTTAAATTATTTTACGAGCATAGTTTCGTGGAAATGTCTTTTGACCGCTTTGGGAAACGTTTAGTTTTGTATGGATAGGTTTTACCTGGTAATTCTCACAGTAACGTATATAGAAAATTTTGGATGGGTTCATATGGTTTGTTGCAACGCAACAATCTTAAAAAGGAAAACTTTTTTTGAAAATCTTCTTTAATACTTTTAATACTACAACAATTATATTGTTCGACAGTTGTATAAACTTGTAATATTCAATGCACTGTGCTGACAGATTTTTATACGCCTAATACGAATTTGAAAATCGTTTCACATTGGTATTTTTAGTTATTGAGACAGTAAGTTTCGAAAACAAAATTGTAAATTTTCTATTTTGAAAATGTTTTACGCTTAAAGTTATTCGATTGTTTTTTATGACAGTAATTATTGAGATTAGGTTACACCTTTGATAAGAATATAATATTTATTGAATGGAGAATATAATGGTTAATAATATAAACTGTGTTTCGCTAGTTTTCGCTGCGCACACTTCGCTTGCAACGACACCATACCATACAACCGCTCTCTTAATGAGGGCAGCACTTCTCGAATCTATGAGAATGTAATATATAGAAATGTACCACACTCTCAACAACCTTACCGATTTTGATGAAATTTAAATATATTCTACAACTCAACATTTTGAACAACTTTTTCCTATACATATAACCGCCGCTCGGCCTTAGTTTTCGAGATATTTTCTAAAAACTGTCGAAACTAACACATTGAATTCTGGCCATCCGTGAGCGTCCGTGACAACGTACACTGAGTTGCATTGAACTTGTTGCAGTGAAGTTGGCTACAAATTCACTAACACATTCACGCCGCGTCGCGGGATGGTTTGGGGAGGGGATGGGACTACGAAGGGGGCCTCTTCCGGCAACGGGATAGATCGATTATCGATCTTCGATACACCGGTGCTCGGGGTCGATGGGGCTGGCGGATATCCCGCGATGACGGGTGGGTTGAGGTCTTCGGGCTCGGCGACAGATGGCTCCGGGTGGACGTTTGCATGGTCCAGGCAGCTTTGGCTCTTTCCTCGGAGGACGGTTAGGAGTCTGTCGCCGGCCTCGTAGCTCCTGCTGTGGGTGTTCCTTGTCCGTCTTCTTTTGCCTCCATCGGCCCGACACCGGTGAACAGGGGGAAAGGGTTAGGTGAGGGAAGGGTTGCGGGTGGTTTTGAGGTGGAGGTGTAACGTGGGGGAAAGCGCAGCGATTGTAACGGGGGGGCACGGGTGTCACCACGTTACAATTTATATATATATTTATATGTATGAACTACAACTTAGACTGAACTTAACAATTATCTTTTCTGTCGATCACAATGGATATTTTTTAGTCTAGATCCTTGCACACAATGGCGTCTCAGAACAGAGAAGAGAAAAAAAAATGTTACCAACCTAAGGATATGGTGTCCTTTTTTATTTCAATACCAACAAATTATAAAGTAACAACTTTACGATTTTTCCTAAGAATGACAAAATATTTTCAGCGTTTTAAAATATAACTTTCTATTCTACTTACTTCCCGACAGAAGTTGGTCCAATCAACGACACTGCGAGCAGATAAACACCGAAAAAAAGCGAAAACTTTAATGCTTCATAACTTTTGAACGGATTGCGACCGCCACGTTTCTTAAGGTCAAGGTTACTCAGGGTCATGACCTTGACAACATATATCAAGGTCAGGATCATCGGCGACTGGGGACTTTTTGTGCATAATTACCGAATAAACAGTTGACAATCACAAAACCGTTAAATCTATAACAGACCTGTCTAACTAGCGGCCCGCGTGCCACTCGTGGCACTTTCCTCTGCCATGGAACTCACGCTCGGCTCCTCCCCACTCTTCTTGTTCGTTTCCCAACTCTTGTAATATTTGAGGCGTACCCTGAGTTGCATTGAACTTGTCGCAGTGAAGTTGGCTACAAATTCATTAACACATTCACGCTGCGTCGGTGAGACGATGGGCGAGATAGGCTCACCGACGCGGCGTGAATGTGTTAGTGAATTTGTAACCAACTTCACTGCGACAAGTTCAATGCAACTCAGAGTACGCATTAGTATGGGATCGCCGCTTTTCTACTGTTTCTGCAGGCAACAGCACGGGGACCAATGACCAATATATACCTTGTGTACTTCTGCATTCATGATTTCAATGTATCGTAGCTATGATGGCAGCTGGGAATTTAACATAGCCTAACCTAACCCAATCTACTCTACCTAATCAGTGAATTAAGTTAGGTTAGAGCAAAGTGATATTCTGGTCGTCTGACGGCGACCAGACACACATGCTGAGATTCAAAATCATGAAAATTAGTTAAATTTAATTTTTAAGCCCACCCGTAACATATGTATATAGTGTATACATTGATGTCGGTCGCCGTGCTGCTGCCTGCAAAAACAGTAGAAAAGTGGCGATCCCATACTAATGCGTACGTTGTCACGGACACACACGGACGGCCAGAATTCAATGTATTAATTTCAACAGTTTTTTGAAAATATCTCGAAAACTAAGGCCGAGCGGCGGTTATATGTATAGGAAAAAGTTGTTCAAAATGTCTAATTTTACAACATATTTAAATTTCATCAAAATCGGTGAGGTGTAACCTAATCTCAATAATTACTGTCAATTATCCTATGAATTCTTACAAATAAAATTAAACAATTTGTTAATGTTTTTCTCGGAAACAGTAAATATGAAAAAAAGTGATACTGTTTTCTTTATAAGCAACGTGTCGATGCATATAAATCTTTCATCTTTACACTACTTTTTAGGGAAAGTAAGTAGATGACTATATTTTAAATGGTGTATATATTTTAGCGTATATCGAAACAAATTCAACGATGTACCATATGATAATCTTCTGACTCACCCAAGGACAAAAAAAAGAAATATTTTGAATATTTCGTATTACTGTACTTATTGGTATTTCTTATTGATATATTTACATTTCCTGTTCAGTATAAGTTACATTAGCTAGAAAGCACTATTGGTGGTTTCATGTTATAATTAGATTTGTGTTATTAGTGTTAGAGTGTTTACTTCTATTACAAGCTGTACAGAATTGGGGAAGCTTCCGAAAGGCCCCCCCCCCCCACCCTACGACAACCAAACTTCGGATTTATAGTAATTCAGGGACGAGAAATCGAATGAGACCATTTTCAGAAGTGGCAAATAAACCGTACTCGAGATATACAGGGTATTCTAAAAGTGTGGGACCCCCCCTATTATCTCCATAAGAACGCATTTCCACGGAAAATGACTAAAACAAAAGTTGTAGGGGTCGTAAAGTATTATCTTGTAGTGACCTTGAACTTAACGTTATCCAGACACGGCCGTGCCAATTATCGTTTTCGGGTAAGGAAAACCCAACACTTGACCCGTTGTCGGCGTAAGAAATGTTGAATTAGGGACGAAAAAGCTACCCTGAGTGGGTTAGCGACTACACCCACCAGGCGCCTTACGTCTAACCTAAACCTAACCTAACCTAACCCTAACCTGCAAGGTTAAGTTTAAGGTCAGTACAAGATAATACTTTACGACCCCTACAACTTTTGTTTCATTCATTTTCCGTGGAAATGCGTTCTTATCGAGATAATAGGGGGGTCCCACACTTCTAGAATACCCAGTATATCTCGAGAACGGTTTATTTGCCAGTTCTGAAAATGGTCTCATTCGATTTCTCGTCCCTCAATTACTATAAATCCGAAGTTTGGTTGTCCTGGGGGGGGCTTTCGGAAGTATACCCGAAAAGAAGATAGATATAACGTCTACAACGCAGATCTAATCATAATATAAAACAACCAAAAGTACTTACCAACTAACGTAAGTTGTATTAAACACGAAATGTAAGTATATCAGTACTAAGAAATAGTGCTAAGTACAGTAATATACGGAAGATTTAAATGCATCATTACGTTGCTTATAAAAAACAACATCACTTTTCTTCATGCGTATCTACGGGAAAAAACGCTGGCTAGTAATTCTCTGAACACGTTGTATAAACTAATCGGGTTTGGTAGCCTTTAAAGGCAACTAATCCAGACGAGCTTGTCGGTATTTGAATCAAACCAAATTGATATTTCGTATTAAGTATAGGGGAAGGTGGTGCAAGACGGGGTAGTGAAGATTTATTAATGAATAAAACACAGGTTTTTCCAATTAATGAATCCACTTTAATTTTGTATTATTCTTTGATAACACTGTCCAACAAAGGGTATAGGCGGATAAGATGGTCAAAAGTGCCCCCAAACCAAATTCGACTTGCTATGATCCATTCGATAGGTGATAAAAAGAAAAAAATAGTCTGTGCCAAGTTTCAACTCTGTATCTGATCTGGGAGGGTAGTTATGGGTAAAAATGTAATTGCGAAGTTTTTGGCCAATTTCTCCTATTTAATGACATTCGAAAATTCTGAAAAAAATTAGAGACATTTCTATTTATGAGGCACATATTACAGAATTTTTTCCGATTTTTAGATTGAAAACTGAAGCCGTGAAAAATCAAAAACGTCAAAAAATGCTGAAAAATGGCGATTTTGGATTGAAGGAGATGAGGTCCTACGATCATGTTTTTTTTATAAGTGTATATTATTGATATTATCATCCTCAATTTTTTTCAGATATTTTGGTAAGATGCGCCATAGTTAAAAAAATTAAAAACCGATTTCTTCACTGTTTTTTGCGTGTTAGAGTTACTTATTCGGCGAATTTTCGTCTGTTATTTATCAAATACATGGTATATACACTGTTCAATGTTTTTACATGCAGTGGAATAGAATAGGAATGAAACTAAATAAACCTAATTGATAAAAGTACGTTACGTCCGTTATATTTCAAAAGATTGAAGTTATTTTCAACGGCTGCTAAACCGCTGGAAGCTTCTTTTCGTAGGTTCGAGTTCGTTCAGACTCAATCTTTTTTTTTTGGAAATACATTTTTTCAAACTTTTACCTACATGACAATCGTTAATATACTTGTTTACAAATGTTTCAATAATATTTTTTTAATATTTTAATCTGTAATATACGTAAATACCATTTTGAAGTACTTTCTATTCTACCGTTTCTCTTGTCATGTATTTTGTCAGTTGCAGTATTGTTTAATATTTTTCATTATCTTTAACAATTCTGGATAAGTAGTCTCAGTGAAGATAACCCGTCATGTCCTATTGATAATAATATAATATTGATAATAGTAAAAAGTACTATTGAAACATTTGTAAACAAGTACATTAATGATTGTCATGTAGGTAGAAGTTTGAAAAATGTATTTCCAAAAAAAAAAAAGGTTGAGTCTGAGC